TTAGGAAAAAAAGGAGGGTAAATAATCATAGCTAGCGCTTTATAGTGTTTGTTATATGCCAGACACTGTTCTGGCTGCTTTTCATAATGAGCTCTTGGGACCCTCAAATCTGCCCTACGAATTAGTCAGGTTCAGATGGTAAGTGTCTTGCTCAAAGCCATACAGAGAGTAAAAAGTGGAGCGAGGCTCCAATCCAAGCAGTTAGTCTAGACTCCATGCCCTACCCTCTGGGCGTGGCTCGGGTTATAGACGTATAAACCCTCAAAGAAAGGTCAGATATATTCACATAGACTGAAAATGGCAGTCGTCTTGGGCAAGAATTAAGACTTGAATTTGGTGCAATTTTGAAGTTTCCTGTGTTCTCCTCCCCCGAAGAGAATGGTTTCATGTTACTTCTGAAGGTAAATGTATTTATAAATAATTGCTAAATACTTAAAAAAAAATCAATGTTGGGGTCAATGCAAGTGATTCAGAGCAGAGTACCTAGATGATACTTTTCATCGTAAATGTCAGATGACCATGTTGTCACTGGGGTCAGGATCGTTTCATCTTCAGTCCTGGCCAATCACATGACTTGCTTCAGAGATGAAAATGTATGCCTGCTTTTATTGGAAAACAGAAGGCATATTGGCAAATGTACTTTCCCAGAGCTGAGATGTACTTCAGAGTTCAGGAATGGAACCTAGCAGATCAAATATTGAACTAAGCCAAGAAGACGTTTGTGACCTGTCTTGGTTAGGGGTTCTATTTTGGTAATGAAACACCATGACTAAAGCAAATTGGGGTTTATTTGGCTTACACTTCCACATTGCTGTTAACCACCAAAGGAAGTCAGGGCAGGAACTCAAAGAGGGCAGGAACCTGGAGGCAGGAGCTGATGCAGAGGCCATGGAGGAAGGCTGCTTACTGCTTTGCTCCCCATGGCTTGCTCAGCCTGCTTTCCTATAGAACCCAGGACCACCAGCCCACAGATGTCACCACCCACAATGGGGTGGGCCCTCCTGATTAAGAAAATGCTCTACAGGCTGGTCCACAGCCCGATCTTATGGAGGCATTTTCTCAGTTGAGGTTCCCTCTTCTTGGATGACTGTAGTTTGCGTCAAGTTGACATAAATCTAGCCAGCACATTAATTACAAAAATGAAGTAAAAATTGTAAAAAGGGATATGAATAATAAGTATCCCTATATTGGAGCAACCACAGAGAGAAACCATGAGGGGGGATGAAAGAGGGATGGAGAAAGGGAGGGAAGGAGAGAGAGAGAGAGAGAGAGAGAGAGAGAGAGAGAGAGAGAGAGAG